ACGAGCATAGAAGCATTTGAAGAATAGATAGAATTTTGAACAGAAATGTGGTTGTACTGTAGAATACTGAGAATATCGTGGACAGAGACATTGACAGATGTGGCGGTTTTGCAAAGAATACAGAAATAGAAAGAATTGATACAACTATTAAGAAACGCAAACTGCAAACTTGGGATATGTTATAATGGGAGATAAATACCAGTTACTGCAACTTATTATAAGGAGAAAAATAATCGACAAAATGTCCTTAGATAGGAAGAAGAAGGAATTCATGGTTGATGAACTTAAGAGAATGGTACAATTGCAACAACTGCCAACTGTTTAGATCTGCAGTATCACAAATACGCATAGCTTTGATGATGGCCAAACTTCGGAACGAAGACGGCACCTAAAGAAGGAGAAGAAGAACATATTCTAGAAAAATTGCAAACTCGACAGCATGGCAGATATCACTATGAAATAAGACATAGTCTCGAATTCCCAAATTGCATAATAACTGGATCTATTAAAGCGTCTGAATCCTTGATCTTTATGTTATGCTAATATCATAAATTATTTATGACATGCAATGAATACTATGAGTGCATTTTACAGTTCTACCTTTTCTGTGTTGATTTGGAACTTACATATATGTAACATAACAAAATCATAAACTAATATGTTTGTCTTGTATGCACCTGTAAAATTTGGAAACAAAACTTATTAACCAACTAATATTAACTAACCCATTTTAATGTTACATCAAGTAAAATCTTATAAGAAAGTTATTACGTAAATATCCCTGAAAAATTAATTAAGCGTTGCTGCAGGTTTTTATGGCTTAGGTGCGGTTACTTTAATTTCTGTCAATATTGATTTCGTATCCTTTCACCGAAAGGTTAATATTGGGTCATATTGGTGCTATTTGACATAACTGATAAACATGTAAAAATACTTGAATTATAAAAACTGATTTTACTGTATAGCACCAAAGACGTAAAACGAATATTTAAAATCTGAACACCCATTACATTCAAATTGCTTGGGATTGTTCAAATATCTGTTTATCTAAATACTGACTTTACTCTTCAATTATTAATGTGAAAACACGAAATCAGCATACAGAGTATAAGTATATAAATATTAATACCAGCTAATGATTTTTATACCAATTTTGCGGCTTGAGGTGCGGTTACCTTTCAAATCAATATTTAACCGTTTCCAATAAAAAATATTATGTAATGGCTCTTAAGTAATAATAATAATTTTATAACAGGTGTGTAGTATGTAGCAGTGTATGTATTGGTGTATTTTTCTTACTTTGTATTAAGTGTGTACATTGTTCTTCTGAAAGTGGAATATATATTTATTGTGAAATAATCAGAATCGTTTCGACAAATTTCAAGTTTGTGTTAGTAGCCAAACACTCCTGGCCTTCTCTATACAGACAACTTCTGAATATACCAGTTTAGTAATATTTTGTTCACATCTCCAAGAAAATGAAAATTTAAGTTCATGAACACAGTTGGTTAGTTAAATAATAGATACAGATTATATTTGAAAGCAAATATTTGTATTATCTATAAGTCGTGAGATTTTTAATTGGTATGAAACAATATTGCTTGAGGCCAAATCTTTTATTATTACATTAAACAATCTACAACTGAATATTTGTTTGAACTAATAGTTGTTGGTTTAGTTCTATGCACTGCGACACCGTTTAGATCTCTCACTTATTTTTGTTGTAAGGAATGTTTAACTATCTTATCATTACTTGATAATTGATGACTGTACCTATCCTAGTTTGGATTGTGTGGAAGCATTATATTAAATTTTAAATCATTTTCTGCGTTTTGCATTGTGACATTTTTTCCACTTTCTGAATGTGTTTAAATATTTATCCTACATGCACAACTGAGAAAATATTCTCGAAATATTAGGTTTGAAAATATATTCCCTTGACTAATAGATTAGGATTACGTCTTAATAGGGCATATTTAACCATTTATCTTTTAACCAACTGTAACAACTGTTTTATTAATGGTTATGCTTTTTACTGAAACGGAAGACAATTGTTCTAATGTAATAATTATGAATGATGAAAGCTTATCAAATACTTTCCCAACTGATTTCACTCAGTTAAATGCAAGATGGAAAACCTCTCTCTTCTGTATCTAATATTATCAGTCAAATTGTATCTGTATATCATGAATGTTGTTGTTTTTGATATATGTTTAAAAACATTTAATGAACATTTGATTTTTGACCGCATGTTAATTTTGTTTTCAAGTTGATTTTGTATCTTAGGTATTAATCTTAATATATTAATAACAAAAATGAGGGCAAAATTCCACAACATACTGTTGACGAGCAAATTATACATGTATCAAACCTTCTTTACATCAACGGCCATAAGTTATACAAAATTTCAATTATTTCTATTTTTTGATGACTCTTGGCTCTTGTGAAATTGATCCAAAACAACGGCAACAAAAAAGTTTTAAAATATTTTAGTTTGATGCTATTATAGCATGTTGTTATGATAAATTTGAGTTTCCCGGAAGCCCTTTAAAAACAATGCTATTTAAACCTTTTGCTGAACAGTTCACACTGCAGTCCCAAAATTTCAAAATTTGGCTATTTTGATAGTAACACAATAAAGGTCTACAGTGTGAAAGCCAATTGAAAACAGACAAAATCTTTATCAATCGTCTTGACTTCCTATTTCCTCATGTGAACATGATAACGAGCTCTTCAATACAAATATTTGTCGGTAGTAGTAGTAGTCTATTTTAAATTTGTTGGTTTAAATATTGCATATAGGGTGATTCAAAATTGGCGTCATTCCTCTGGAGGTGTTGCCTGGCGGTGTTTTAGGAGTACCGAAAAAATAGGAAAAAAATTAATTGTTATTAAAAATTGAGAAATTAAAAAAAAAACTATATTAGAAAGACGGCTACAATGTGTTTCTAGGTAATCTGCCTAATTAACATTACGTAAATACCAGTTGCTTCGTAATTATTAAAAACTCCGGTAACCATGGAGCTATACAGAAATTTTTCCAAATGTCAATTATTGTCCTCATAACCTCGAGTTATTAATTTGTTTACAAATTACAAATAAACATATACTTGAGTCCTTAACTCTAAACAAGTTAGTGCCTGTGTTATATACCTCATTATCCACTCTTCTCGAGCAGCTCCTCGTATTTGGCTAATTGACTCCTGCTCAATTTGTACCGGTGTTCAGTAAGCGATTGGTTTAATGTGCCCTTGTGCTCTATTTAACTTACATACGTTTTAGGAATTTAGCCCTTCCTCGGGATTTATTTGATGCCTAGAAATGTGTCAGTTGTTGTGCATACTCTGAGTGCCCCTGCAAGGCTCTGCTGAAACTAGGTCCAATACTTGTTCTTCTGTGTCTGGAACCCGAACATCTACTGTCGTCCACTATCTTCCTGGAGCAACTCTCCTCGCCCTTTGTTGGCGTGAGTCCTATCAACTTCTGCTATGTTACTGTGGCATTTCTTCAAGGAAGGCTCAAAGGAGCTTCAAAGTAAGTCACAGTTTGATAAATTCTTATTATCATTGACAAAGGCTATCTATCTGTAACTATCTGTTAATGACAAAAAATCATTATTGCCGCTTTGACCTTTTAACAAGAAATTATAGAAGAGAACTTTTTAATATGAAAAATTTTCGTAATTTGAAGCAAAGATCGTAATTTTTCTTTTTGAATGCTAATTATAGTATTCCAATATGCTACCAATTCAACATGGAGCAATATCAAAATAAGGCTTAATAACAAAGTTGAAATTCGATTTTCAACTGTTAATATCTTCTAGAAATTATCGAAAGTTTTCAATATTTTTCTCGTAATCTCCAAGTGAGCCCTATTACTCATTAAAAGGAATGACGCTAATTTTGGATCACCCTTCACAGTTCAATTTATAAAGAATTTTGATTTATAAGAAAACTATCTAAAAGACAATTTCATAGTCAAAAATATTGGGAGGGTATGGAAATGAAAAAATCAATTTTTTACAGCAGAAAAAAACAAAAAAACCGAACATTTTCGATTAATTTTCGGTAAGTGATTCGTTTTTGTTTTTTTTACAAAGATGCTGATACTGTATCGTTGGCCTGAATCTAGATTCGAATTTCGACAGTTCTGTACAATTTATCCATTCCAGTTATCTGCATTGCAGAACATCGAAAAGTTACATAATCATTTGTAAAAATCCACCTGCATCGACCTAAACATGCGTTTCAGCACGTGATAAAACCATCCAAACACTTCCGGTGTTAGCGCTACAAGTAGAAAGCATTATCTGATTTGAAATCACAGTAATTTCAGCGGCGCGCTTTTATAAAAAGCACCAAATTAGGAATCTTTTTATATTTCCTCTGAACCAACACGGTATACAAAACTGTACGCTATTATATGATAGTGGTTTTGACATAATGGTTCTGACTTTGTTATGCAGTAACAAGAACAATGTAAATAATTTATCTTCATTCGTTATTTGATTGTGAAATTGGAATTGACAATATCTCCCGGTTGTTGCTGTAGAAGCGCCGTAATTCTTCACTTCTTTTCGAAATAAATCAATTATCTTTCTCTCAAATTTTTCAGTTTTTAAACTCTATTATTTGATGTACTATGTATGCTATAAGTTGGAGATTTTCAGTCTGCGAGAGTCATTAGATCCCGTTAGTTTTCTAGCAGTTTAAGGCATATTTATTGCGCGGGCAAGTACAAGATTGAGTTACTTCGTATGGTCACATGTATTTTAATAGACCTGTAGTTGGTTAGTCAAATCCTATAGGAAAAACAAGATGAAAATGCCGAATGTTTTGAATAAACGTTAGGTGTGACTACCGAAAAGTATTAACTATGATAGCAATTCTCCATTAAATGAAATATTGAAATATGAAATTTAGCCCGATGGCAGTCGTGGCTGATTTACGAAAATGTACAACAATATTTGGAACCCCGTTTTTATTGGTTAACGCACTTACTGATCAGTTTTCTTTTTCTCGCTGTCCAGTTCTCGGTAAGTTTGTTGAAGTTTATCAGTGAGGATTTCCAGATTTCTAGTCAGCTTATAGTCTGCTTCAAATTGCTCTGACATTAATACCAGATCACGAGTAGCATCGTGCAAGGGAATATCACTGATGTATAATCCCCTCCTGAAATGAACATTAATGTGACATTTCAATACTAGATATATCAAGTGTTAAATGGAACCTAAAAATTAAAGGCAGCATCTAACCAAAACTAAAATATTAAATTAATTATGCGGTGTCTAATATCAAATAAACGTGGGGGTTGTAAAATACAATATGCATACTGCTGATGCTGAGCATGATTTTTGAAATCTTGATTTCAAAACAATATTGAACAGTGACTATAGCGGATAGTGCCAGAAGATGATTTGTTGTCTAAGTAGCCAATTTTAGAGTTAACGCTTCCTAGGCCACGGCGGCACCACGGGCTCGGAGGTCAAAGTTTCTCCCAACGAATGGCACTGGACCATGGCCATGGCCGGAGGTCATGATCAGATGGGCGGTTTCGCGATTCTGTCCATATAAAGCCGCAGGTCCAGACGGGGTAATTCCAAAAATGCTGCGGTCGGGCCTACATATCTTACTCCCGTTACTGGAAAAGATCTTCAGGGCCATCGTGGCGATGGGATATGTCCTTAACGATAGGCGGTCAGCGGAAGTGGTCTTTATACCGAAACCCGGTTAAAAAGGTATCAAGATTTTTCCCTGCATATTGTGTCTGGTTATGGGCGAGCTCCTATAGCGGTTAGAACTGAAGGGCTACGTCGCGCAAGTCCATGCGAAGGACGGCCTAGTCCTCGTTAAGCGGCAGTTTCTGGGCGTTTTCTGCGAGACAATGCAGGTTGCATGAGGAATAATAGAGAGATGCTGTACCGACGCCGGAT